TTAATGTAGACATGTGATTGGCTTAGGCCATTGTGACCCAGAACTCCTGAGTTCAAGAGATCCAGTAGCCAAAGCCTGTCTGGCAGCAGGCTTGTGCCACAATGCCTGGCAAATATACATTTTAATATTAGCCTAATCTAAATAAGGAAGAGAAATCCATGGGGTTTGTTTCGTTTATTTACATCATGTACTCCAAATCAAAATAATTATAAATTATTTTTGCATGGTGACTGTTGATGAATTACTTGTACTACTACTTCCCTCCATTAAAATAATGAAGTCCACCCTATTATAATTAATTGTTTAAATTAATGTCTAGTTGTAGTCTTTACGGACTCTTCCTCTGATGCCACATAATACACATAATAGTGCTGAGGTGACCCTGGGTTCTTGAAGGCTATGTCACTGGAGGGCAAGCTCTGACTGGTTCTGTAATGCTGGAAGAGCTTTGACTATATGGTTAGAAAGACAGGGGCAGCTTTTTGAGGACCAGCCCAAATTGGCACTCATCAACAACAGGCCAGCCACTTGGTGCCACATTCTTTGGCAGTGGCCATCCTTGAAACAAAAAAATTCAAAATGGCAGCTCTCATAATTTTGCAGCCCTTTGCCCCTGATGGTGACAGGGTGGCAGAAAAGAGAATGAGGAAAATGTCAGCCACAGCCTGTAGACCATCTCTTAGATGTTCGCTTAGCTGCTCATGCTCTAAATGTGAGGTCCTTGTTTGGTGACCAGCAAGTGGACCTGCTGGTAGAGGAACTGAATTGTCTCCATCTGGATTTTCTCCTTACAGAAGAAGCCAGAAGCCAGAAAGAAGTTGCAGCTAAATGGAAGGATGGTCCACATGCCCTTCTTAGAGAGACAAATGAAAGAATTGGCAAGATTGTGTAGATCTGCAATTTCCTCTACATTCCTCTTTTTCTGTCTTACTATGTTTATGAAAATACCCATTTATTTGGGGTTTATTGAGTTCAAAATTAAATTAAGAGGAAAAAAGTCATTTATAGGGTTGGTTTTGTGGGTGTCCAAAGGCAGCAAGAAACATCATTTTCTGGCGTGTTTGTTCATCTCATTGCAATGCTCATAGTAGGTATAAGAGGGGTGGGTATCCCTATCTGCAGTGGAACTTCTCACACTGAGAGTTCCTAACACTGATGAAATCAGCAATCCCCCGTGTGTCAGTAATATATAGCTGTGTGTCTCTCTTTGTCATATAAACGTTGGCATTGTCCTAAATTGAAAGCTTTTGGAAGTCAGGGAAGACACTTTGTATAGCACCACATCCAGATGGCAATTTAGCAACATCTTTTAGATGACAGTGTCAGAGATGTAAACCAGATGCTAAGGTTTCCCTAGTCTCAGCACACTGGGGGCTCAAGCTTTTCTTCAAGGCTGTCCATTGCAGGTCTTTTTTCTTTTTTCTTTTATAGTAATGCAGCCTCTGCTCTCTCACCCCTCCAAATATTTTCTGACCTTTCCAGCAGTTAGGATCCCATCCCACTCCAGCTTAAGCAGCCAAAGGGAAGACTGACTCAGTCTTAGCACCAGCCTATAAATATCTGACAGCAAGGCCTGGCATTATACCCAGGGCCCACGAGCCAGCAGAACATGAATAGGGTACTGGATGATAGGCAGATTTTCTTCCGCTGATAACAGACTTTTCCATTTTTCTCCCTTTTAATTGAAATAGGTAGAAGCCAGGCATGCAGCCACTACAGATGTCATTCAAGAAACTCATTGTTATGTTAATGAGGCTGCCTTAAACCATGCAGGAAATTACCAGGCCTGGGTAATTTAACTACGGGAAATTATTGCTGGAGAAATTCATAGCTCTCCTGCCATAATGGAATTAGGTTTTAGTGGTTCCCAAGAGGCAAAAGTGCATTTTTAAGGATTGGGTATTTATAAAGACCTCCTTTTGTCTTCCCTCTCTCTGTGTTACAGGCTTGTTTATTTTATGAAGCATCTTTTCCATTGGAAGCCTCCCATTTTTTCCCCCTTTCTGGTGATTTGTTGTGTGTGATTTTCTTTCAGTACCAATATTTACTCAAGGTTTTAAGTAGTTAACAAGCTGTCACCAAAGCTACCAAGATCTACAGTTAGGTCTTTTCCCTGAAGCTATTATTCTTTAGACCTGTTTAATAGAGAGTTTCTCCTTTTTTGAGTCTGGCCCTACTCTCTTGGTTGCAGGTGGAGTATCTGGGTCTGACTTCCTTGGGTGAATTTGATTTCCCAACTTGTGAGGGTTATTTAGTAACTGCTTTTATTTTTTAGTTAATTTTTTTCAATTAACAAGCATTTTTTTTTCATCCCACCTCTCCATACACTTTAAAAATAAAAAGAAAAAGAAAATCCTTGTAGTGAATATGTGTAGTCAAAACAAATTCCTATTGGCCAGGTCCACTAACATCCTGCGTATAAGTTTTTAGAGGGTGAAGTTGGTGATGGTGCATACTGAAGTATGCATAGAGATCATCATTGTTACTCACCTGCCCTGTGACTCCGCCATATATAATGCTGCCCTAGCTGCCAGAGACCTGGACAAAGTAGTAACTAGAATAGACCAGTCCCTACTGTCTCTAGCATAAGTTTCCAAAGTGGGTGATAGCGCCCGTGGTGGGCACTGGAATAATCCAGGAGGGCAATAGTAGCCTCAAGTGCTATTGGGGGACATTGAATAAAAAGCAGGAGGCAGCAGAAGCATAAGGAAAGAAGAGAAAATTCCGAAAAAGCATTTATACATGTTTCATCTGTTATGTAATAGAGTTAAAGTCATAGTGATTATATTCTTTTCCAAATAAACACACAAAATGCAGGTTACAACCGATCAGTGGTCAAGTCCACCGACAGGTCTCGATAAGCAAGTGTTGGCAGGTGAGACTGTGGTCAGGAAGTCCAACATGCGCCTGCAGGAACATGTGCATGTAATGTGCTTGTTTATAGTATGATACTATATTGTTACAATGTTGCATCATCAAAATTTCAGTGCAGGAAAAAACCCACGAATTTACAACAAATTATTAAATTTGAGATGTCATTTTTTAAAAAAATATTTTATGTCTTTAAAAATGATGCAGATTTAAAAAAAAACACTAAAGGGTGAAAAAAAGTAGGTTTCCAGGGGGTGCTGAGTAATTTTTTTTTGAAAAGGGGGTGGTAGGCCAAATAAGTGGGCACCTTCGAGAGCTCTGAGAGCCTTTGCATCCTGTTTTTCAGGCCATGGCTACTCCTCTCTGCTCCTCATGGTTGTTGGCATTGTAGAAGCAAGTTACTGAAGTTTTTGTCCCAGAAAAGACAGGAAAGATTGGTTCACACCTGTGTCTGCTAGCATCCCTCTTCAGAAAGGAAAAATAACCTTTCAGTATCTTTGCATGCTCAGTTTTCTTGTTGACCCATTCCAAGGGGAAGTTGGTTCTTCTGATGAGGTTTTTTTTTCCTTCAAACCCAGGGTTATTGGAGTTGAATTTACTACAGTGCATTGCCAAACATTATTGCTTGGTCAATGAGTTTTGTGTAACTGGTTTTCTTTGTACAAGGGAGGGTTTGATGTGGAGAAGGACTCAATCGGAAATTACTGTCACATTTTTTGGAAAGAATAAGAAAAATGGAAACTTTTTTTTTTGCTAAGCAGTGGGTTTAAGTGACTTGCCCAGGGTCACATAGCTAATAAGTGTCAAGTGTCTGAGGTTGGATTTGAACTCAGATCCTCCTGACTCCAGGGCCAGTGCTCCGTCCACTGTGCCACCTAACTGTTCCAAGAATTTTCTTTATCATCATTCTAAATTTCTGTAACATTTTATAGTAATACAGAATTTTGTGGTCAGTCTCTGTTATCTAAAACTTGTAAAATAGAAGAAACCTTGATCAGTTATCTAACTAGGCAGCTAGGGGAATACCAGCAGTTGAGTGGTGCAGTGAATAGACGCCAGGCCTGAAGTCATGAAGACCAGAGCTCAGATCTGACTTCAGACCCTGGGCAGGTCATTTAACCCCGTTTGCCTCAGTTTCCTCATCTGTAAAATGAGCTAGAGAAGGAAATGGCAAACCACTCCAGTATCTCTGCCAAGAAAACCGCAAATGGGGTCCTAAAGAGTCTGACTCGACTGAAAACAATTAAACAAGGGGGCACCATAGTGGATAGAGCACAGGGCTGTGAGTCAGGAAGATCTAAGTTCAAATCCAGCTTCGGATACTTACCACCTTTGTGACTCTGGGTAAATATTTAACCTCTGTTTGGCTCAGTGTCCTCATCAGTAAAACAGCGATAATAATAGCACCAGCCTTCCTAGATTATAGTGAGGCTCAAATGAGATAAAGCTCTTTGCAAATTTTAAAGTGCTGTATAAATACTAGCTGTCATTATCATCATCATCATCATTATCGTTGTTGTTGTTATTATTCTTAGGCCATCTCTATTAGCTTCAAAGACTTCAGGCTCAGCAGTCAACCAACCCCATAATGTGTCTTGAGAGGAGATTGTTCGTCTTTCCTTATGTATCTACTGTCGTTCCCAGATTTGGATAATTCCTTCATCCCCATTTGATGCAAATCATACAGCAATTTAATATAAGGACTTGTCTGAAACCCCCGAAACTGTTTTTCACTGTTGGACACCTTTGGGCAAGCTGAAGGAAAAAGCTATGATAGAGCCTTACCGCTTAGAGGGACTCTGCTGTTACTCAGAATTTATGCCACTCAAAGTTGGGCGTGAGGTAGGGCTATCCTCACTTGTGTCTTCTTTTCTGAGCTTTTCGCTTCAGAGACAACTTCTGTCTTTGAGTTAACCAGAGTTCCTGAGCCAAGCAGGTTTTAAGTTTAACATCCTTAACCAAGACTCCTCCCTAGCTCTCTGGTTTAGGATGAAAACCCGAGGACTGTCAGAAGGTGGTGTGTCCACCTTCTTGCATCATCTTAGGTTACCTTTTCTAATTTGTCTAATTAAGGCCCATCTGTAGTCTCCCGATCATATGTTCATCTGGCTCTATGCTGTGTTTTCCAGGCTGCTAAGAGAGTGATCCTACTGTCTGGGACCCCAGCCATGTCACGGCCTGCAGAACTCTACACACAGATCGTGGCCATCAAGCCACACTATTTTCCTCAGTTCCATGCCTTTGGGTTACGCTACTGTGATGCCAAAAAGGTACTTCTTCCTTCTCCCATTATCATACGTCAAATGCTACTTGCCTTGCCATGCTACTACCTTTCCTCGGTGTCACCCAGTGTAGACGCCAACAAGTCCATTCTGTACCATCAAACAGCATATCAACGAGGGTTGTGGGTAGGGAGGGAGCTGGCCATGGAGTAAAATTAATAAGAAAATTCAGGGAGCTTGGGATCTGTCAGGTAAATGGGAACGAGGGTAGAGCTCATGGGAATGTACCAGAATCAAATTAATGTAAGCAAAATGGTTACTTAAAAGAAGGAGGTAAAAATCAATACAAAATAAATAAATGGAGGAAAATGCACACCTAGTAATTATCACATTAAGTATGAATGGATTCAACAACCAAAGAAAATGGGGAAAAAAAAGGAAAATTAGATAAGAAAACAAAATTTAATCTGCCATGTACAGAAAAACACATCTAAAAATAAAAGCACAAACAGAATGAAAGATGAAAGGTTGGAACAAAATTTACTGTGTATCAGACAATTCCAAAAGGAATTGTAATCATGCTGTCAGAGAAAGCAAAAATGAAAATTCAGAAAGTCAGGAGAGATAAATAGGGAAATTATGCTTGAAGGCACCATAGATGATGGAATAATTAGCATAATTAATCATATTAAAAACAAAGCAAAAAACCATATGATTACATCAGTAGAGCCTTTGAAAAATAACACATGCCAAAACCCCTAAAAAACATAGTTAAATAAGGACGTCTTTTTTTAATATGATAAAAAATACATATCGAGAAAACAAAAGCTGGCATCATTTGCAATGGAGAAATGCTAGAGGCTTACCCCATGTGAATGTAAGTCAAGAATTACCCCTATCTTCATTATTTGACTTAGTTCCAGAAGTACTAATAATACAATAAAATGAGAAATAAATTAAAGGTATGAACATTAGCCAAGGGGAAATGTGTTATCCCTATTTGTAGATAACAGGATGACTTAGAAAATCAGCAAAGAAATTTACTGAGATAATTAGTAATTTCAGCAAAGTAGCAGAATTAATATCTCTATGCAAAATAAATGCATTGTGAGTCACAGCATTTGTGTGTAACAATAACAGAAACCAAGAGAAAGGGATAGAAAGTGAAATCCCATTCAGAGTAACTACAAATTTCATTGAGTATTGGAGAGTCAGCCTACCAAGACGCACTCAAGATTTTAATAACTACAATTATAAAACATTTGTTGTGGAAATAAAGTTGACTTATTCATCATTTGGACATGTCAGTATAATAAAAATATCAATACTACCTAAATTAATTTATGGATTTAACACTATGTTGATCCAACTATCACTTTGTTTCTTTAGAGAATTAGACAAAATAAAATTGACTTGGAAGAACAAAAGGTCTAGAATCTCAAGGGAAATGATGGATGGCTGAATGCATGGAAAGTAGTACTTTCAGATCTCAAATTATAGCATCAAGTTGTAATCATTAAAATTATTTGGTACTAGTTTAAAAATAGAAAAATAGACCCATGAAACAGATTAGATATGTGGTTTCCAGAAACAGTCAAACTTAATAGCCCAGTGTTTGATAAACCCAAGAGCAACAACAGTAACTACTACTACTACTACCACTACTACCACCACCACCACCACTACTACTACTACTACTATTACTACTACTACTACTACTACTACTACTACTACTACTACACTACTACTACCACTACTACTACTACTACTACTACTACTACTACTACTACTACTACTGCTGCTGCTGCTGCTGCTGCTGCTGCTACTGCTACTGCTACTGCTAGTGTTACTGCTACCATTACCCTTCATTCTCCTTCTCCTCAAGGAAACTGTCATTTGGGAAAATACTCTTTGCTTCAGATATTTTTAATAAACATCTGACATCCAAGATATTTAAGGAACTTGAATATATAATGCCCCAAAGCCATTTTCCAATAGCTTAATGATCGAAGTGTATGAATAAAATTTTTTAAAGAAATACAGACTGTCAACCATCATGTGAAAGTTTGCTTCAGTCACTAAATGAGGCAAATGAAAATTATCTAAAACTCTGAGGTTTTAGTTCATACCCAGCCAGTTGTCAAAGAGGATAAAGGACAGAAGTAGTTCATATTGGAAAGGCTGTGGGAAGTTAAGACACATTCATGTACTGTTGGTGGAAATATGACTTGGTCCAACAATTCTGGAAAATGATTTAGAATTCTTTTTTTTTTTAAATGTGACTACAGCATGATGCTTTGTTTGACTCATTGATCCCTGGAAGGGATCCCAAAGGAGGTCAGAGATAGAAATGGAGACTTCAAATATCCCAGTGTGTGTATCCCAGTACAGCACTCTTTTACAGCAATACAAATCTGGAAACAATAGATACCTTTCAATCTAGCTAAACAAATTGTGGTGCGTGAAAGTAATCAAATATTATTGCACTGTAAGAAATGGCAAATGTGAAGAATTCACAGAAGTATGGGAAGACTTGTATTAACTGATGCAGAGTGAAATAAATAAAACTAGGAGAAAAATACTGTAACGTCATTATCAGTAATGATAATAGTGCATAGCTCTTTAAGATTTATAAAGCTCTTTAAACAAAATAATGATGGCTGGCACTTTATATAGTGCTTACCATCAAATTTCCAAGGTTGGTGCTATTATCATCCTCATTTCATAGTTGAGGAAACAGAGAACACAAAAACAAAGCAAGATGCCTCATAATTGCAGTGACCAATCTAGACTCTGGAGAAGAGAGAAATAAATGCATCCCCCTTCCTTCCCTTGGATATGTAATGAACTATGAGTGCAGAATGTTGCCAAAAATGTTGCAATGCTGTGTTGGTTTTATTTAACTGTTTTTCATTGGTCCAAGAAAGCTTCATTTGGTGAGGGTGGAGGTGGGGGGTTAATATCCGAAAATGAAATATTAAAAATTGAAATGCTTTCTTAAAAATACAATAAAGGAAAAAAGATACAATAAAGGGGGGCAGCTAGGTGGTACAGTGGATAGAGCACTGGCCCTGGAGTCAGGAGGACCTGAGTTCAAATCCAGCCTCAGACACATAATACTTCCTAGCTGTGTGACTCTGGGCAAGTCACTTAACCCCAATTGCCTCACTTAAAAAAAAAAAAGAATTAAAAAAAATACAATAAAGGACAAGAAGTTGAGATTTTTAAAAATATCTCTAGGGGAGAAATTCTCCCATCCCCCAGAGTTGCTCATTCCAAAATTTCCTGTTCCTCACAGTCTTGACACTGTATGCAATAGATATCGATGTTCTCTAGTTCTGGCCTTTTACCTCCTGGAAGGATTGTTACATCTCCAAATGCAAAATACCCAGGTGTCTTTGGCAGGTGTAGCTAGAACACATACAAAATAAAGTATTTTTTGGCTTCTGGGTCAACTTCTTGTCTCTTCAGTATCCAAAAACAACCTGTGACCCGTTCCCCTGTTTTGTGCATGCCTTTTCCTTAGCTTTTCGTGAGGGGGCTGTTTTTCAGGCTTATTGACAGTAAGTACTAAAAAGCTCATTGGCAAAAAGGAATAATTCATCAGCCGGAATGGACCAAAGAGCCTGGGCTTCGGAGAGTTTTGTTAATGGCACAAAGGCTTTCCTAGCTCCCCAGGGCCATTAAAACCATTCTAGGCAAAAGGAACAGTTTGCTGTGTTGGGACCTTGGGAGGATGTTAATGGACATCAGGCGTGTTGTCTGGCAGACAGAGTGCCTCTCCGCCGTTCCTGCATTCTCAGTAGAAAGAAAGTGGACTCTCTGGCTTGCAGATGATGATAACAAGCTCTGGAGCCCAGTGAGAAGCACCAAGTGAGCGGACTTCTGTTTCCTTCTGTCAGCTTTCCAGGATGGCCCCAGAAGGCCTCTTCCGTTGTCCCTCAGCATGAGGACAAAAGACAGTTTTTCTCTTTCAATCAGGAGGTACTTGGAAACTTATTTTTTCAATAAAGCATTTTTATTAATCTGCCCTTCCTCTTCTCCCGTTCCTCACTGAACAAATTTAGAAAAGAAGGAAAAAGACCTCAGTCCGTCGCTGCATAACCCAGCGAAACAGATGCCCACATTGGCCACGTCAGAAAGTGTCTGTGCATTTTAGTATCATCTCCTCCCTGTCGGGAGGCGAGTGGCTGTTTCAGCTTCGTTCTTTTGGACCTGGGCTTATCATCTTGTGGATCCAAATTCTGAAGTCTTTCAAAATTGTTTTCCTCTATAGCATTATCACTGTCTAAATGGTTCTCTTAGCCTCATCTCGTCACTCAGCATCAGTTCGTAGAAATTGTCTAGTTCGTTATTTCTGATGGCGTAATCATCACATTCATGTACCATACTTTGTTTAGCCATTTTCCAATAGGAAGATACCCCTTTAGTTTCAATTTTTGACTCCCATGAAAAGAGCTACTGCATTTTTGTGCATATAGATCCTTGTCTACGGAAGGCATCTGATGGTAAAGAGCAGGGTTGGAGAACCTGTAGTCTTGAGGCCACATGTGGCCTTCTAGGTTCTCGGGTCCAGTCTTTTGACTGAGTCCAAGTTTTACAGAACAAATCCTTTTATTAAAGGAATTTGTTCTGTGAAGTTTGGATTCAGTCAAAGGGCAGCAATTGAGGACCTAGACGGCCACATGTGGCCTTGAGGCCCCAGGTTCCCCACCTGTGGCATAGAGGATAGAGCATTTGGCCTGGAGTCAGGAAGACCAGAGTTCAGATCTAGCTGTGTGATACTAGGCAAGTCATGTAACCTCTTTATGCCTCAGATGGGAATAGTAATAAAATGGGAATAGTAGCAACTACTTCCCAGGTTGTTGTAAGGTTAAAATGAGATAATACTTTTAAAGTACTTTGCAAACCTTAAAGCACTATATAAATACTGTTTTCTTCTTTTTTTGGGGTATGGACTTAGTAGTAGCATAACTAGGTTAAAGGGTGTGCACACTTCAAGTGCAGCTGTTGACTGAGTCCAACAGCCTTGAGACAGTCTTGAGGACTTAGAGGGCCACATGTGACCTTGAGGCCCCAGGTTCCCCACCCCTGGCCTAGTCTGCAAGGACAGGGAGCCCTCTGCCTCATGAGCTGTTCTACTCTGAAGCAGCTGTAATTGTGGGGGAGTTCTTCATGGTGAAATGAAATCTGCCTCCCTATCACTTCTACTCATCAGTCCTAGTTTTGCCCTCTGTGGAGCCACAGAGACTGCCTAATTCTTCTTCCCTGTGACCAGTTCCACATTCTTCTGAAGACAGCTATTACGTACCCATCCAGATTTTCTCATTTTCTAGGCAAAGCTTAAGCTTCTGCTGGTAGGGTTCATCCAGGAAGAGGTAAGGGCCAGGCATGGAAGTAAACCAGTGTGCAAATGTGCAATGTGTACATCATGAAACCAAATGTTAATAATAATAAAAACAATAACAATAACACTAATATTAGTAATAAGAGAATGAAATCAAAAAGTCTTCCATGGGTGGCATCCACCTAAACCCAACTACTAGCATGTCAACAAAGAAACATTGAACAACTGGCTGAATCATTTGGATTCAGTTATAAAAATGGAGAAGTTTGTGTTGGCAATTCAGATTTGGGTCATTGCTATTAGAAATTACAGACAGATTATCTTTAAGGATCAAGAAACAGTAGATCACTACAGATTATTCAAGAAAACTGTATAATGATACATCACTTCAACCTGAAAAAATTTAGCCTCTGATAGCCAGACACAACCTGATGACTAGAATTATACATCAGAAGCTCACTGTTTTTTATAAGCTTAACAGCTGACAAAGTCAGCCCCATGCTACAAATATAGGCTTCAAAGTATTCTTGAGGTCAGTCAATAATAACTCTACTGAAACCAGACCATTATCACAGATGGAACCTGTCCACAATTGCCTGGATGTACGCTCGATCCATAAGAGTTTACGAATAGTTTAAGTAAATGTCCTATGAAATATTAATTATCTCTAAACTGTGTGGAATAGAAAATTTCAAAATATAGAGACCTAGGGGAAGAAATCAAAGTTGTGTAGGAATGAGATGAGGTGTGGGAGTGTGTGTGAACATGTGTGCATGTGTATGCGCAAGTGCACATGTGACTCCCATCATTCTGACTTATTGGAGTTATCCCCAGAATGCTTGTAAGAACCTAGTATCACCTCCAAGCCACACCAAAGCTTCGGAGGACTTTGGGCCACCTCTCCCATTTTTTATTGTAACCTCTCCCTGTCCCCTAGACCAGTGCTGCTTTCATGGACAGCACTGCATATGTGTTTCTAGACATCAGAAGAGAGAAGGTATTGTGCCAAAGAGGTGTCCAAAGGGACTCCCTGTGGACTTTCACTTGGTTTTTAGGGTAGTGTTTCTGATCCTTAAGAATAGTTTGGCCTGACCATGATTCCGGATGAAATGTGCGGCCCACCTCCTGACAGAGAGGGAGGTGTTGGACTCTGGCTGCATGGGGATGGACTATTCTGGCACGTCCAGTCTTGGAACTGAAGCTTCTTTTTGGACGTGGCCAATGTGGGAATTTGTTTTGCTTGACTTTGTATAGTTGTAATGAGGGCTTTGTTTTTTTTTCTTTTTTGGGGGTGGGGCGTGAGAGGGAGAGGAAGAGAAAGTGAATTTTGTTCATTTGGCCTCCGTCCTTTTAATCTCCAGTATTTCTCTGCCTTGATTCTCCACAGTCGCCTTGGGGATGGGATTATTCTGGTTCTTCCAATCTTGGAGAACTGAAGCTTCTCCTAGAAGAGTCTGTCATGCTCCGACGGCTCAAGTCCGACGTCCTCTCCCAACTCCCAGCCAAGCAGCGCAAGATGGTGGTGGTTGCCCCAGGGCAGATGGATGCCAAGACCAGAGCTGTCCTGGCTGCTGCAGCAAAGGAAATGACCACAGAGAAGAAGAGTGTGAGTCCATGGTTCAGGGGGCATTCTTTTTCTTATCCCTTTTCCTAGGACTGAACATGGTTCAAAAAAGCTTTCTGGGGGGAGCTAGGTGGTGCAGTAGATAGCACTGGCCCTGGAGTCAGGAGTTCAAATCTGGCCTCAGACCAGACACTTGACACTTACTAGCTGTGTGACCCTAGGCAAGTCACTTAACCCCAGTTGCCTCAACAAAAAACAAAAAAAAAAAAACAAAGAAAAAGCTTTCGGTCTGAGTTCCAGTATTTTACCAGAAAACACGTCTTGTTTCCCAGAAACACGTCTTGTTTCCCAGCTTCCTATCCTTCTATAAGATGTACTAGCTTGTCCAAGATTCTGTTAACCACCAGTCCTTGTTCCTACAGGACAGTGCTGACTGATACTCTCAGTGATATTCTTGGATCCTGCTCTATGATTATGAATTATCAAAGAAATGTAAAGTCATCTTCAGTGTAGTTTTCCTGTTAAGGGGTACTGGGTGGTGGCCTAATACCTTAAGAATGTGTCAGTCTCGCATATGGTCATTCTGTTCACCACAATATTTGAGAAGGCAGGACACCCTGCTCCTCAGGTGTGATGGATGACAGGAGTTTGCTTTAGTAAAATAACAGTCTTGACTCGACCATCCTCCCTGTTTCACCAAAAAACTTTCATTCAGTGCTTAACTGTGCTTGACACCGTGAATGGCATAACTTAGACCTACGGGGACCCAGCCTTCTGGCTGATTACAAGACAAATGGGCCGGATGCGGAACCCCTCCAATTCCTCTTCCTCATTCTTCCTTTTAGTCCTCTGGCAGGGAGAACGGGCTGGAAAGAACACGGGAAGCATGCTAGATACTCTTCAAGACAGATTTAATTTGTGCTGCAGAGAATTCCACAGGCTGGCCCTGGTAACTGCTCTGTGAATGATGAGAAGTGATCCAGGCCTAGCCCCTCATTCAACAGATGAGGAAACAGAGCTAGAGGGGTGAACTGACCTGCCCGGAGTCACGCAGGCAGCAAGAAGCAGATCTTGGCTTTGAATTCAGGTCCTCAGTCTCCAAATTCAGTGCTGCCTTCACTGCAGCCCAGAATGAACAGGGCTCTATCCTATGGCATTTATAGCCTAATTCCAGCAACATAGATATAGACATAAAGACAACCAAAAAAAAAAATCCCAAGATACAAGACATAAATAAGAAGCAAGCCATGACCAGTATTTATTAAATAGGAAGCAAGGAAACATGCATTTATTAAGCACCTGCAGTGTGCCAGGCACTGCACTAAGTGCTTTACAATTATTATTTCGTTTGGTGTTCACAATTCTGGGAGACAGCTGTTATTGTTATCCCCATATTACAGATGAAGAAACTGAGGCAGACAGATTAAGTGACTTGCCCAGAGTCACTCAGCCAAGAAGTGTCTAAGAGCAGATGAGAACTCAGAACTTCCTGGCTAAGGCTTTATCTACTGGGCCCCTCCAGTTGCCTCAACATGCCTGGCACTTGGGAAACAAAGGGAAAAATGAAACAAGCTCTACCCTTAAAGAACTTATTTTTGGGGAGAGAGGAAACAACATATACATATATAAACATTTGAAATAAAGTTCACATTATCATGCAGAGGATAACTGCAATCCATCAACCAACATTTTTTGTTAATCATTAATTGATCATTCCAAGGTTTATTAGATAATGTTTCCTACTTCCTAAGAGTCTTATTAAAGTTTAATAGTTACAGATCCCCAGAGGGCAAGGACACTGTCAGTTTAAAGCCCTTCTCTCGGGTACTCAGTGCTGGGCCCCAGAAAATTTGAACTGGAACATTGCTTCTTAGTGGTGGTAATGAAGGACCTTGAGATCCAGGGTTGAAACGGTTAAAAAACAAAGGGACCCATGGTTTTTGGCCAAACAAGGTGCCATTATGAATCTATGGAAGACTGTTCCCCACCTCATTGCACCTCCTGTTTTATGGTAACTTTTTTATGTCTAAAATCTCCCTGCAATTTTGCTCATCACATTTGTTCCAACAGAGCCTGGCAAACCTGTCAAGAATCCAATCTTTCTTTGTTGTCTCATGCTCTTCCATCTGGGAAGAAGACATTTTTTAAAAAGCTCTAAATCCCAGAAGCCAAGGTGAAGCAGCCAATTTATAAAATATCATGTATAATGAAAGGCTTTTGTATATCGCTGCTGAAATAATAGGTATCATTTCACAGGCTGGAGCAAAGCTGACTATCATCAGCTTTTGTCTAAAGCCAGTTTTTGATCTGTGAGACCAATGGCTGAAAAATGGAAACCAGCCACACATCTTCCTCAGTGGCAGTTATACCATTGTAACCCTTCAGCCACTTGGCAGCAGATTCAAATTTCTGGCATTTAAAAAGAAATCTTTGCTTTGAATTAATCTGATTGAATTCCTAAAGGAACAGCATTAAGTGTAGAGGAGGGAACAGTAGATTTGGAGTCAGAAGACACAGATTTAAGTCCCAGGTCCACCACTTAAGTGCCTTCATCTTCCTGAGACCCAATTTCTCCACCTGCAAAAGAGAAAAGTTCATGTTGTATCCTCTTCACAGAGTTATTGTGAGGACCGAATGAGATAATGTATATTTCTATACTAAGGCAAGTAATGTATTATCTAAAAAATAACAATAATAGAAAGATGGGCACAAGTTGGACGATGTATATTTTAAAACTGTAGAAATGTGAGATGCATAGATTTAGAGACCTCTCTACTTAAGATGTTAATATGGGCTCAAGGAGTTTATGTTCTACTGAGCTGGACTAGACAGGAACGTGACAGCCTCCAAAGGAGTGATAGTGAAAATTTTAGTCTAACATGACTTGGAAAATTGACTGCTTATTCAGTGTAGGAGGAAACACATTATAAGTGAGTAAGACACATCCTACTGTGTAGAGCCCTATTCTGGGCTCTGTGTCGACAGCTACTCTCTCTCCTCACTTGCTAAATTACTTTAGTGAACCTTTTAAGGGCAGGAATGACATGTGGATTTGCTTGGAGAGCAAGATGAACTGGAGAATGGCAGACGGAGAAGGTATTTAGTAACAATGGTAGTTTGCACATCCTGCCTCGCAACACTGTTCCGTATTCTTCATCATATATGATCATGCAAGCCACCCTACACATGAAGGAGGTGGAAGAGTTGGTAACCCCATTTTGTGGAAGAGAGAATTACTGCCCAGAAGTCAAATAACTTGCCCAAGGTCATGCTGTGTCATTGTCAGATCCAACATTAGAACCTAGGTCTCTTCAAGTCAAGGCAACAAGCATTTATGAAGCACCTGCTGTGTGCCAGGTACTAGACTAAGTGCTGGGGATACAAAGAAAGGGAAAAAAACCCAGCCCCCCCCCTCCACACACAGAACGAGCCCCCAATCTAATGGAGGAGACAACATGCAAACAATATGTACAAACAAGATATATATACACGAAAAACTAGAGATAATCAAGCAGATACAATTAAGGGGGATTGGGAAAGGCTTCCTGTAGAAGGTAAGACTTTAGCCAGGACGGAAGAGATAGTAGATCCTGAGCTCCCTGAGAGCAGAGACTATTGTTTGCCTTTCTCTGTATCCTCAGCACTTAGCATGGTGTCCGGTACATAGTAAGTGTTTAATAAATGTTTATCGATCGACAAACTTGAATGAAACCAGGGAAGCCAGAAGACAGAGATGAGGAAGGAGAGAATGCTAGTCCTGGAGGTCTGCCAGTGAAAATGCCTGGAGCTGGGAGATTGAGGATTGTGTGTGTGGAGCTGCAAGAAGGCTGGGGTCACTGGATCTCAGATGGGGAGTAATTTGTAAGACGAGTAGAAAGACAAGGAGCGGGCCAGGTTATGAAAGCCTTTGTATGCCGAACAAGATTTTATGTTTGATCCTAGAAGTGATGGAGAGCAAATTCATCGAAGGGAGGAAGGGAGAGGGATTCAGATAGTTATACTCGTGTTTGCTGGAATCAGCTCAAACCACCTCGCAAGAGCTATTGTGAGCATTTACACCTCAGAAATTGGCAAATATTATAAATCAGGGCTTGATCTATTGTTTTATTGATTATTTAGACTTAAAATGATGGAGGGAAGATGTTAATAATGCAGATTAACCTGCATTCTCCAATGCATGATAAAGTAATGCAGATGAAAAACGTACACAAGCAGGGGCACATTCTTTTTTCCTCGTCGGCACGCACCTGCTTGTCTTTGCACTTGAAATTTGGCAGCTGAGTGGGGGGCGAGACTTAAATGGGGAGGGGCTTAAAGCAGGGAAGCCGACCAGCAGGCATAAGGTGATGAGGGCCCGCACCCGGGAAAGTGGCTGCTGTATCTCTGTGCCGTAGCTGGTCATCGGTACACGTGCAGCAGAGATGATTAAGTCAGCTTACCCCAAATCTCGGCGGCCGTTAAGCTCTACATCTTTTTCTCCTCAGAAGCGGCAGCAGAAGGAAGCCCTGCTCCTTTTCTTCAACAGAACAGCAGAAGCGAAAATCCAGCCTGCCACGTAAGTGCTCGGCAAACGTCAGGTGCCTTTTAAAAAGGATTGTGTTGTCTGTCTCATGTTCCTGCCCATTAAAGAATATTCCATCTTCACTTGAAAACAAGTGTTAAATGACCATGGCCTCATCTACCAGAGACAGAACTGGGATCGTGCCAACTGCTCGGCTCTACCTTTCTGGCTGGTCTGGGGGTGCAATCTTGTGGCCACCAACACCTGCTTGCGGGAAGTCTTGGTCCATCTCAGAGATGGGGAGTGGGGATGGATGCTGCCACTGTCAATGGGACAAGGATATAGTAGTGTACCATAGCCAGGACAGGCTGCCTACAAGGGAGGGATGGTGCGGGGAGTAGGGCAGAAAGCTGCCTGTAACTTTTATCATTTCCAAGGACCATCTGACAGCATTCATCCTGGAAACCTGGATAGTTCAGTCCTGTACCTGGTTGTATATTTTTTCCTGCCCTTTTTCTGTTCATGTGTTTTTTGTTCATAGCTCTCCATTGCCATTTCTGTCAAGCAAGCAGTCAACATTTATTAAGCATCTACTATGTGCCAGGCACTGTGCTAAGTGGTGGGTATGCAAAAAGAGGCAAAAGACACTCCCCTATCGTCTTTTCTCTGTTGCCTGCCCCGTAACTTTTCTTTCCCCTTTCTCCATGCCTGCCCAATTTAGACCCGAGATTAAAAGAAAAACCATTCTGTGAGTTAAGAGCAAGGCTGGTGGGCATTCTTTTTGTCGATGGTTTGTTTCTCTGAGGTACATGACCTTATCAGACCAAAAAGCACCCTAGACAGACAAAGTATTGATCCAAAGAGGAAGTTACCATTTACTGACAGGTAATTAAAATCAGCTGTCCTCAGATTTTATGTTGGAATTATTCACCTGTCTTTGGTGTTCTTTTCTGAATCCTCGCCAATTTTCTGCTCTTAAGAGAAGAGGAAACCCACACTCTTCCACTCTCAGTATGATAGAAACTTGGGGGTGTTCTGTCGACATGCAGTTTGGCTGGCTTTTTATTGTTTAGAAGTCACGCAAAATTCTGGAACCATAATGGTCCAAATGATGAAATTGTGAATTTAGTGTGGGTGAGTAGTGCCAGAGCGACAGCTGGAAGGCCTGATGTCTGTGGATAAATGGAAGAACCCCCAGTGGTGGCCTCTCTCACCACCCAAGACCTATTCCTTTTGGCCTCGATGACCTCTTCTTCCATCTTCTCAGGGTGATGAAAAGAGAGTTCCCCATGTTGTTTGTACCTGTAGCTCTCCATAAAGAGGCCTATGAGTTTTATCCACTTCTCCTTCACCCTTTGCACAATGTCTTTTTCATTTATGACACCATTAGGATACTAATGAACTCCAGATGTGGTTTTTATAGTACGGGAATTTATCCACTAGAAACTGACTTGAATTGCCCCCACCGTCCCATTTCTCATAGGCTACTGAACAACAGATGGTAAGGATGTGTGCTTTCTCCTTCCCGAGCTAATGACCTATAAACCCTGGGTCATGGTCGTATCTTCCTCCCCTGGCCCTGAGCCCAGAGCCACATCATTCCCTTAGAAGTTTTTAATTCAGCCATTGGCCTCAAGTCATAAATAACTTGGCATGTGTAAGATAGTTACCATTCTTAGGAATGAATTTGTGAAAGTATGTGTGACCTAAATACCCTCGGCCTAATGGAAACTGGGCAGTGAACCTTCAAGAAATGCCATTATTTCTGCCTCTCCTCCTTTCTGCCTTGCTTTTCATGGGAACCTGAGTCTGTGGGACTGCCGAGGGTATTGAGGAGACAGGCAGATGAACTAGGGAGAAGCCCGTGCCAGTACTTTGGGGTGAGCCTAGAATCTGGAGGGCCCTGTGACTTTAAAAAACTCTCCAGCACTTTCTTAAGTAGTTAGAAAGAAGGGAAAGCCTTTAGTTTGGGAGCTGATTAGCAGGACTGTGTCTTGTCCTCTATCCTTATCATAGGATTTAGATCTGGGAAGGAAACTTCCCTTGTTTTATAGATGAAGAAATTCAGGGCCACGAAGTTGAGGGATTTGCCCCATGTTTCCTCCTTACTGCTCGAATGATTTGGCTGCTAGCCCAGCCAACCACAACTGAATTTTATTCTGGGGCATTTGTTCAGCAGACGTTGGGCACCTGTTGTGTACAGGGCACAGGGTTAGGTGCTGGTGACAGACATTTATAGGATGCAGAATCAGCTCTGAAAGAGATTACAGTTTAATTAAGGGGAACTAGGGGTAAAAAAAGAGAAGGTTAGAAAGAACAAAGGATTGTCTACTGATAATTTTACCTTTGCTCTCCCACTAGGTAACTAAAGGACCTAGGTGATAACTTCAGGGACCTTTGGATCTCAATACACTTTGTGTGTCTTCATTGTTATTACTTTCTATATCCTAGAGCAAAACTTTCAGAAAGCCTCTGTCTATCACGGGTCCAGCTACTCAAGGAAAGCAAACACCTGATGTGCCTTTCTAGCTTATGTTTTTCTTATAGGTTAGTAAGCTGCTCCTTCTTGATGTCTGCTTCTCTGTCTTCAGCGAGGAGGTGTTGGCTTAGGCATGGCGTCACAACCTAGGTGTTATCACTGGAGACTAGATGTCAGGGAGAGCCGAGAGCCCCCAGGCAGGGACCACAGCCTAATTCTTTAGCCTCATACCATATCAGTGATCAGCCCTCAACGGACGAACAGTTCCCTAATGAGGATTTTGGTGTTGTTGTAAAATGCAGTGACTATATCCTGGATTTATTGGAAAGCGGGAGAGAGAAGCTCCTAGTGTTTGCACACCACAAGCTGGTCCTGGATGCCATCAGCGATAAGCTGCAGAGAAAGGTAAGTGAGCGGTAAAATTGGACACAGTCGTTGCTACTCAGGTGGCCCTAGACCTAAACAGAGGTCTGTAGTAGTTGTTCTTAAAAAAAAAAAACTCATTTCATTTTCAGCTTCAAATTTTTCCCTTCCCACCTCCTTCTACCCCAACTGAAAAAGCAAGAAAAACAGAACCCATTGCAAATAATGGATAATCAAACAAAATGAAATCCCACATTAGTCGTGTCACGCACACACATACACACATGCACACACACGTGCGTGCACATGCACACAACACACACACATACACACACACACACACACACACACAGCCATTGAGTCCATCTCCTCTCTGTCACAAGGTGGGCAGCATGCTTCATCCTGATTCCTCTGCAGTTGTGATTGGTCACCGGGCTGATCAGAGTCTTCTCTTTATGATATTGTTGTTATTGTGTAAGTTGCTTTCTTAGGTCACTTTACTTTACATCAGTTCATATAAATCTTCCCAAGTTTCTCTGAAACCATATAATAATAATTTATTTTTTTATTAACATATTTTATTAACATTAATAAAGTACCCTCTTTTTTGTTCTATATTTAATGATCATGGGCGGGGGGGTGGGGAAGAGGAGAGACTATTTCTGTGTGCAAAGTAGAACAGAAAAGATATAAGAACATGCAACTTTTTTTTAAATTATAAAATAAATTCAATATGTTATTTTCAAAGTTGTCTGGCTTGTCTGTGTTTCCCTCTGAACTTCCCTTCTGTGTATTTTTACAGATGCATCAGTGATTTTATAAAAGTGTTCTTATAAAGATTTCCAGAGACAGATCTCAAATTTTGCTTTCGGAAGTCACCAGCTCAAGGTCTCTTGCTAGCCGTAACTTTTTAAAAAAGTCTTGAGGGTACTTCTTTCTGGGCTATAATGAGGTGACCCCAAAGTCATGCTTCTTTAGAACAAGGGTTCTTTTTTTAAATTAATTTATTTTGATTTATCAGCAATCACTTCTGTATGCTTTTGAGTTTAAAATTTTTCTCCCCCTCCCTCCCCAAGATGGCGCACAATTGGATATAGACTATACATATACATTCCTGTTAAACATGTTTTCACATTAGTGATGTTGTAAGTAAGAATTAGAACCAATAGGAGGAACCACCAGAAGGAGGAAACAAAACTCAACAGAAGAAAAAAAATAGCAAATAGTATGCTTCGATCTGCATTCATACTCCGTAGTTCTTTCTTCTTTGTGGATAGCATTTTCCATCACGAGGCCTTTGGAGATGTCTTAGATCCTTGTATTGCTGGGAAGGGTTAAGTTTATTAATATTAGTCATCACATCTCCTTTTTCTGCTCACTTCACTCAGCATCAGACCATACAACTCTTTCCAGGTTTTTCTTTCTGAAGTCAGCCTGCTCATCAATTCTTATAGCACAATAGTATTCCATTACATTCACATATCACAACTTGTTCAGCCATTTCCCAATTGATGGGCATCTTCTCAATTTCCAGTTCTTTGCCACCACAAAAAGAGCCGCTATAAATATTTTTGTGCATGAAGGTGCTTTTCCCATTTGTATGATGTCTTTGGGATATAGCCCTAGAAGTGCTATTGTTAGGTCAAAGGGTATGCACATTTTTATAGCCCTTTGGGCATATAAAACTAGGGTTCTTAAGCTTTATTGTGTCAGAGATGTCTGTGGCAGTCTGTCTGGTAAAACCTATGGACCCCTTCTCAGGATCAAGTTTTTAAGTGCATAAAATTAAATAATTGTCATAATCCTACTATTTTACAATAATTATAAGAAAACCAGTTATATTGATTTATTATTATTATTCATTTATACTGATCACAAAGGATACCAATATAATAACCAATAATTTATTTTGTATTATAATTATTTATTATGTATTATGTTATTAATTATATCATATATTACATAGTAGAATAATATATGTTACATCACATATGTTATATTAGAATAATATATAATATGATATGATATAATATAATATAATATAATATAATATAATATAATATAATATAATATAATATAATATAATAATATAATATAATATAATAAAAATATTTTTAAAAAACAAGTTCATGGACCCAGGCTAAGAAGCTCTACCTTAGAAGATCCACCAAGGGATTTCCTTTATTCTTTTTCTTCCTGAATAAATTAATACAAAATTAACAAGAGACAAGATTAGGGAGAAAAGTGCCTCTACCTTGCCACATGGAAAGAAAAGCATTAAATTATTATCTTAACGTGTTTTTCTTCCTTTTCAGGCTCACTCTCCTTCTCCCTCTTTTCAAAATTCTTTTATTAAGCACTTTTCTCCATGACACTGAGGTAGGCTTTGTGGAGAGCAGGAAATGGCAGCTCTCCAGAAGCTTCAAGTCTCAGTGCTTTTAATATCCATGGGTTAGGGGAAAGAGCTCCACCCTGGGAGCTAATAGCATCTAGTTTGAATCGCGGCTCAGCCATCTACTTGACCAAATCCCTTTCCTTCCTTGGACCTCATTCTCTCATCTGTAAAATGAGGGAGTTATCTAAGATCCCTTCCAGCTCTAGAGCGATAACCCTATGAGAGGCTTCTGGGGGATGTGCCATTTAAACCAAACATCCACCCCTCTTTACCCTTTGCATCTGTGGTAAGTTCTAGAGGCATCATTTCCCCTGAAAAAAAAAAAAGTAAAATGACTTAATGGGAAACCAAATGCTTGGCTTTCAGAACTCCCCTGAAAGGATTCCTTTGTCTCACTAGATGGCAACACTTTGTAGATTATTTTTCCTTCCCAATTATGTGTTTTTCCTTGTCTTAAATAAATAAAAAGACTCCCCGAGACCTTACTCCCTAAAAGTCAGGCATAGTTTCTTCCCACCAAGGATAGTAGCACATTTGGTGTTGTACTCTTCCTGATTATTGAAGCAACTTCTTTCTCTCCCCCACCATCCTGTCACTCCCCTTCCCTACATCTTTCCTAAAAGTGAGTTATATGTATTCAACTATCTAATTCTTCTGATGGATTGTGTTGAAAACAGTTGAACTTATCATTGTGTCCAAAATTGTATTCCATGAAACTCTGGTGTTCCATATGCTGTGAATAGGGGTTTCTTTGAAAAAAAAAATTTGATGCTACTAATATTTCCATTTCTAATATTGTTACTATTAAAACTATAGCTAGCTCCCACCTTGGGCAGCTAGGTGGCGCAGTGGATAGAGTGCCAGGCCTAGAGTCAGGAAGATCCAAGTTCAGATGTGGCCTCAGACATTTACTAGCTACATGACCCTGGGCAGTTCTCTTCATGCTGTTTGCCTCAGTTTCTTCATCTGTACAGGAAGCTGGAGAAGGAAATGGCAAACCACTCTAGTATCTCTGCCCAAAAAAGCCCCAAATGGTGTCACAAAGAGTGAGACACTACTGAAACAACTGAACCTTAGCAACAACAAAGCTCCCAATTAGTGCTAATAATGAATCCCCTTAAAGTACTTTCATGGATCCAATTTTGCACTATTTGAAGTTATCATTGTGTATAATGTGGTCATTCGTTCCAGCCCAGTGGAGATGTGCAGTGAGAGTTCAAGTAATGAAACCACTTTGGGGATTCATTATTCACACTCATCAGGACCTGACTGTATGTATATATCAAAAATACTTACATGTGACAGTTTTTCTTTGTGAATAAGAGGGCTTCATTTTCTCCCTTTTTTGCTACAAAATTTCTTCAGACCCTGGTCTATCTCAAGGGTTTTCTGTACCCCCCAGATTTTTCTGGTACCCATTAATATATTTCAAGTCCAAAAAATGTTCTGTGACCAGAATAATTGGAAATGCACTGCTCTAGTGTCCCTGGTAAGAGAGAGAATGTTTGTTGAAGACAGCATGCCCTCATAGAGCATTGGATTTTGGTGTGTAGGACCTTGGTTCAAATTTCCAGCTCTGCTACTTATTACCGGCATAGTCATTTTTTTCCTCCCTGGGTCTCAGTTTCCTCTTTTTTTTTTTAATGAAAGGTTTGGACTAGATGGCTGCCAAAAGTCTCTGCCAGCCTTAAATCTGCAGTCCTGTGATCTTGGAAAGCTTTGCTGGTGGTGATTTATGTGATGGAGGGTATTTGAAACTTTTTTTAAAAAGCATCTGCTCTTACAGAATTAAGTTCATATGAAGGAGCATATCCTTGACACCCATCCGCAAATCTAGGAGAGGAAAAACACAGTTTCTGGAAAATTTCAACCATGCCTAAAACAACATCAGGTTTCAAATGAGAATGAGTTGAAATGGAAACATGGGTCTTTGCCTTTTTTCAGGCATCTCCCAAGAGGATGCTATTGTGGTGAGAAGGATGACCGAGAGGCCTGTGAGTGATGCATCTCTTTCCTTGTCCCTTTAGCATATCAGCTACATCCGCATCGATGGAGCCACATCCTCAGCCGACCGCCAGGCCCTATGCCAGCAGTTCCAGCTGTCTGGGAAGTACGCCGTGGCGGTCCTCTCGATCACAGCAGCCAACATGGGGCTCACCTTTTCCGCTGCCGACCTGGTGGTGTTTGCAGAGCTGTTCTGGAACCCAGGGGTAAGTCATGGCAAAGACCTGGGCTCCCTGTACATTGTGGAAAGGGCAAAGGAAGAAGTCATTTTGAGAAGGGGAGGCTGAGTTTCTTTGATCTTCTCTGGGGTCTTCATAGCACACATTCCTCCATAGACTGTCAGGGTATAAGAATAATAATAGAGCTTTATGTTGAGATATGTTTTAACCTCCCAAAGCAATAATCTATTGTCTCCTTTTACTTTCACAACAGCCCGGATAAAATAGAAATTATTATCCCCACTTCCCAGATGGGGAAAACTCAAAAACACACAGACTAGTTGAGAGATTTAGAATCATAGACATTCAGAGAGCTTCAAGGAAGTTTAGAAACCACTGAGTCCAGCTCTCATTTAAAGATGAATAAAGTACATGGGCTTGTTTTACATTTTACATAGCTATAAGAAGCTGAGGCCCAGTAAGGGAAATTAACTTGTCCAAGGTCAGCTAGCAGTCTAAAACTGTCCAGCTGGTTGGTTAGAAGCCAAGCAAGGACTGAATCCTGAGTCTTTGACTCAGCCACATGCTCTTTCTCGTAGACCTCACTGTGGCTTGCTATAATCTTTTCAGCCAATAAAGGATGCAGGTGGGGTTTGTACTGTTCAGGGGTTTTTTTTGGTTTTTACTCTGAGTACTGTTACTACTCCTGTTGGTCTCATCTCAACTATCACTTCCACAATGAGGAATCTTTTCAGCCTCATTAAATTTTCCCCTGAACTTCTGAGAAAGTAGTCGTATTTCTTCTCTCAATTCCCATGTAGCATTTATGAAATACGATTGTAATGGTTTAATTAAGATTGACATTTATAAGTCAGCGACAAATGACTCTCTAGGTCATAACACGAAAGAACACCATCGAATTCTGGGTTATTAGTTTAAAAAAAAACAACAAAAAACTGGGGACTCTACTGGCAAACTAGTCTTCCCAAAAGGTCATTAGATTCTCCAGGTGGGCATATATTTAGCCATTACTCCCTAGAGAAAAAGCTTCCACTGACTTGTGTATCACAGAGGACAAAAGAGAGAGGTGGCATTACTTTTCTCCCACTCACGTACTGTGACTGCAACAATTAAATCTCTTAAGTAACCGGTGATCCAGGGAAGGATTGGATAGTGGAAAGAACACTGAAAGAGAAGTCAGAAGACCTGGCTTCTAGTCCCAGCACCCCTTTTTACTAGCTGTGTGACCTTGGGCAAATCATTTAACCTTTCTGAGCCTTAGGTTCTTTATTTGTAAAATGGACATGATATTACCTGTCCTGTTGACCTCAAGGATTTGTGAGGATTGAGCGATATAGCCTGTGATTCCAAAGCACTTTCTTGTAAAACACTATATTGATGCAGTATGATGGCTGAGAAGACTGCTTTATTGTATATCAGCAAAAGCTCTTTGAGAAAAATGGGGGTGAGGAGAAGTGATTTTAAAAAAAATAACCACATGTTACAATTGATTTGGGTCCTTTTATTCTTTGGGAAACCTAGGTATTGATCCAAGCAGAAGACCGAGTACATCGCATTGGGCAGACCAGCTCTGTGAGCATTCACTACTTGGTAGCAAGAGGCACAGCGGATGATTACCTATGGTATGGATTGACCAGCCCAAGGAATTTAGCATGTCTGGTTTGGGTCAGGGGCCAACACTGGTGGAATACCTTGTTGATTCCCCAAGAGCTTTCTCCTTTGGTGGAGGACTCTGGGACTTTTTTTTTCCCTTGATAATTAATTAATTTATTTTTAGTTTTCAACATTCACTTCCATAAGATTTTGAGTTTTAAATTTTCTCCCCCCAACTCCTCTCCCCTCCCCAAGACTGCTTGCAGTCTGATAGAGGCTCTATAAATACATTCATATTAAGCATATTTTCACATTAGTCATGATGTAAAGAACAATTAGAACTAATGGGAGAAACCACGAGAAAGAAGAAACAAAACAAAACAACAAAAGAAAAGGAGAGCAAATAGTATGCTTCCATATGCATTCAGACTCCATTGTTCTTTCTCTGGATGTGGATAGCATTTTCCATTATGAGTCTTTTGGAGTTATCTTTTAGATCCTTGAATTGCTGTGAAGAGCCAAGTCTGTCAAACTCAGTTATGCCACAGTGTGGCTGTTACAATGTTCTCCTGGTTCTGCTCACTTCACTCAGCATCAGTCCATACAAGTCTTTCCAGGTTTTTCTGAAGTCTACCTGCTCGTCATTTCTTATAGCACAATAGTATTCCTTTACATTCATATACCACAACTTGTTCAGCCATTCCCCAGTTGATGGGCATCCCCTCAATTTCCAATTTGTTGCTACCGCAGAAAGAGCTGCAATAAGTATTTTTGTACATATGGGTCTTTTTCCCATTTTTAGGATCTCTTTGGGATACATAGCTAGATCTCTTTGGGATACATATAATACCACCTAGAAGTGGTATTGCTGGGTCAAAAGGTATGCACAATTTTATAGCCTTTTGGCCATAGTTCCAAATTGCTCTCCAAAATGGTTGGATCATTTCACAACTCCACCAACAGCATATTAGTGTTCCAATTTTCCCATATCTTCTCCAGCATTTATTGTTGTCCTGTTTTGTCATGTTAGCCAATCTTATAGGTATAATATGGTACCTCAGAGTTGTTTTGATCTGCGTTTCTCTAATCAATAGTGATTTAGAACATTTTTTTTCATATGACTGTAGATAGCTTTATTTTCTTCCTCTGAAAACTGCTTGTTCATATCGTTTGACCATTTATCAATTGGGGGAAGGGACCTTTATAAAGAGTCCATTTATCAATGCTGTCTCTCTTCAGCTTTAGTACCATTCTCACCCTTAGTGATAGGCTACAGGTTCAAGGCCCTTATCCTAAGCACAACGGAGTGTGAAAAAAAATGTGGTCCCTACCCTCAAATTGTTAATAACCCAAAGGGATCCAATCTAACAAAAATATACATAGGATTTTGTTTGTATTTTTTTTTAGACTTCTTTAAAGCCCTGAACATAAACATCCAGACCAGAATGTATTCAATAGTAAATGATACTAGGTGACTTCTCAGAGTGTTAATGAGGAAGATCAGTTGGCATTATTGTCCATGAAGAAGTGATTAACCCTAGCGTAGGCTATGGATCTCATCAATCTCAGCATGTAATAGTGAAGATTCTCTGTCTACGTGTTGAACTAGATGTCCAATGAGGTCCCTTCCAAGTGGAAAATTCTATAAGTATAGGTCGTAGACCTACCTTAGCCTTCTAATCCTGTGTGTTTCTTGTATGTGTTCTTCCTTAGATCCTCCATAGATGCCGTGGACATTTAGAAGGGTTTGGGGGATGCATGGGGGAGCCGAGCAAAGAATAAAACTTTACAGCCTCTGAGTTGGTCTGTTGCTTAACCGAAGGTTCCCAAACTATCTCCACCGGTTCCTGCCCTCTGTCCATTCTTCAAGGCTGATATCCTTGGTTTCTTTTCTTTTTTTTCAATAATTTATTTATTTTTAGTTTTCAACATTCACTTCCATAAGATTTTGAGTTTACATTTTCTCCCCTTCCCTCTCTTCCACCCTCCCCAAGATGGCATGCAATCTGATATAGGCTCTACTTATACATTCATATCAAGCATATTTTCACATTAATCATGATGGAAAGAACAATCAGAACTAATGGGAGGAACCACGAGAAGGAAGAAACAAAACAAAACACCAAAAGAAAAGGAGAGCAAATAGTCTGCTTCCATCTGCATTCAGACTCCATAGTTCCTTCTCCAGATGTGGAGAGCATTTTCCATTATGAGTCTTTTGGAGTTGTCTTAGATCTTTGTATTGCCGAGAAGAGCCAAGTCTATCAAAGTCATCCATCGCACAATATGGCTGTTACCGTGTGCAGTGTTCTCCTAGTTCTGCTCATTTCGCTCTGCGTCAGTTCATATAAGTCTTTCCAGGTTTTTCTGAAGTCTGTTTGCTCATCATTTCTTATAGCACAGTAGTATTCCATTACATTCATATACCACAACTTGTTCAGCCCTTCCCCAATTGATGAGCATCCCCTCAATTTCCAGTTCTTTGCCACCACAAAAATAGCTGCTATAAATATTTTTGTACATGTGGATGCCTTTGGTTTCTTTGCCACACCCTTTACTACTGAACCACTTGGCCCTATTCTCCTTACCCATTAGTACTCACTCATGCTCCCTCCCATTTGTAAACCTTCTAGGATATTATGGCTCCAAAAACCACCCACTACCACCTTAGTTTTAGAGCAAAACTTCTTAAACTGGGGTTCATGAACTTGGATTTGTTTTTTAAATGTATTTTGATAACTATATTTCAATATAATTGGTTTTCTCTATAAGAATATGTGTTTTATTGTATGCATTTAAAAAATACTATTTTGAGAAGGGTCCATAGGCTTCACCAGACTGCTACAAGGGTCCATGACACAGTAAAAGGTTAAGAACCCCTCTTTAGAGAGTTAATCTGCTATTCCATCCATACGTATTCCTCATGTCTTCAATCCCAATATGGCATAATCTGTAGAATTCCTTTCCCCAAGTAATAAGGATGGCTGTGCTTAGATTGGCCAGTTTGCTTTTGGCCAGTGGGTTGCTTTCCATTGATTGAGGGGTTATATACTGGGCAAAAAGAAATGTGACAACCCTCAATGGCCCTTCTATCCATAGCTGCTGGGCATTGAGGCAGGACATTTCAGGGCATAACAAGTCTGAGAATACACTGGTCTAAGAGCCAGTGATTTTAAAAGCCCGGCTCTATCTAGAAAAAAAAATCTGTCCTGTAATTTTTTGTCCTTTTTTGTAATGTGACAGTATTTCTTAGGCATCTCAGAAGGAACTTCATTCTAATTATTTTATGAGAAATAACCAGAGGATTAGTATTCAGATTGAGAGGGGCAGCTATGTTCAAGGTCACCTTCCTGCCTCAACATTTGCAAAACAAATGAAGTATATAGTAACCACCTTGGGGAGAGAGATTGGCAGCTCCAGTTTCAAATGTCCAGTAGTTTTTTTCAGAGTATGATCACTCACTGCCTTTCATTTTCCCCCTGCAGGCCTCTGATTCAAGAGAAGATTAAAGTCTTAGGCCAAGCTGGGCTATCTGAGACCAATTTTTTAGAACTGACCGAAGCCACTGATTATTTCCACAAGGTAACACTGGGGTATGGTTCCCTCTATACAGGGTAGGAGAAGGCTTTGAGCTGCTTTGAGGCTGTTTTGTTAACAATAGGATAGTATGAATCACTCTTCCTGGCTTATCCTAGCCTGGGAGTAGAAAAAGAGATGGTACTGACATGCGTACTCAGTCTGTGTGTACGTCCCTTTTGAGAAGCATGATGCCCTTAACCCCCTACCACTTTATGAATATCTGTAACGGTCACAAAGCAGGGATGCCCACCCTGCCTATATCAACAGCCACTAGAAGTTGACAAAACTATTCTCCCTAGAGCTCTTGAATCTTCCTCAACTTCTGTTGAGATGTGAGAGACAAGAAGCATCCTCTCGGCTTTGGCCCAGAGGGGCCCCCCATTGAAATGCTCATGGGCAGCAGCAAGTGGAAGGACTATTGATACTGATGTGTTTCATTTCTGAGGTCCCTTCAGCCCTGTTGCTTCACCTGGTGTTGTTGCTCTGAGTAGTTAGTTGAACCTGTTTTATAGATGGGTAAACTGTTCCCATAGTAGCTAACCTAAAGTCACAGATTGAGTGAAAATTAAATTAGATAGTTTGTCAACTTGTAGCCCAGTTTCCTTTCTTCTTACTGACAGCCAGAGAGCCACAGACATTCCTATAAGGTGGTTCTCACTGTTCTTGAGTCAGTATCATTGCAGGAGAGCAGTATTGAAAGTGCTGAAGAAAAAAAATTTATTCCCTGGATTGGGAAGCATTCTGCTTTGTTGTCTATCTCATATTCAGGCACCTACTTGGACAAGTACTTTATAATCTCTCTATTATTTCAATCTTTAAAAAAATTTTTTAATTTAATTTTTTTCAATTAACTAAATGCTGCTTACTCACTTCTCTGGAAGTAGTGAGGCAAGAAACTCAAGGGCCATCATCAGGAATTCTTTTCCTACCAAATGGATGACTGTTACTTTATGATGGATTCCTGTTTCTCTCTTCCTTCAGGCCCGTCTCCTAGGTCCTTTCATGAGTCTGCTTTTGAAGGTGTACTGTGGGATTAGAGGGTGATTTTTATCAACCTTTCTAGAAAGGTAGAGTTCTAACATAGTAAGGACAAACAAGCTTTCTCTTCCTCTCAGGACCTCTAGTGGCAGGTTCTTTCATGTTTGGGAAGATGAATTAGACCATCAAAACACTGTATTATTGCAGGTAGGATGGAAAGTTTGTGCCTTTCATTTCCTATTACAATTAAAGCCTGTAATTGTGAGGCTAGGCTATAGTTTATTACATCTGCTTGGTAATACTCTTTTAGAAGTGAAAATTAACATTGTAAGAAAGACTGCAGGGTGAATATCTAAAATACCTGAAGAAGAGCCACCCCCAGGATCAGAAAGATCTGGGGTAAATACTAGTTGTGTGACCTCTCACTTAACTTCAGTGCCCCAGACAGCACTTTGAGATGGTAAATTATAGACATGTTGCCCATCTGTATTAGTAAAGTGGTTATTTTCCCTATGAACTCACAGTTCCAGACCCCAATCTTATGTTAATTAATCTTATTTTTAAAAAGGTCCTCTAAGAACTCTTTGGTCTTGTGAATGTATGAACTTGGTTACCCAAGTTTAAGTTGCTATATCTGAAACAGTCAATCAGTAAACATTTATTAAGCACCTACTGTGTGTCATCACTATACTGAGTGCTGGATATAAACTTGCTAAGTGCAAATATAGCTACTTGAAAAATAATAAAACCTCATTTGTCTTTGAAAAGTAATTGATAATTCAGACAGTTTATGAATTTAGTTTGCCCTTCCCCCAGTTAGTCTAAATTACATTTTACCACGGAAGGAGTCAAAGCCGCGCCATGAAATCCTTTGCAAAAGGCATCGTATCCACCTGCATTTCAATAGATCACTTCGTTAATTTTCTTTTTTAATTAAAGTAAGTTGGGGCTAGTAGATCTCTCATTATTAAAAGAAATAAATTAATAAGTAGAAAGCAACCTTTTCTGTTTGGGAGACAGATTTTAAAAGGAGTTATTCTCTTTAGATAATAATCCTACTAAATGAGACTGAATTAAAAAACTCTGATTTGGGAAACTTAGTAAAATTCATAGAATCATCGAATCTTATCTTTCTTGTGAGATGAGTACTAGCCGTAAAATTTGATTTATCCAGAAAGAGAAAGTATAGGGTTTAAATTAAGTGAATGACTATTCTAGCTAACTCAGAGTTACCTTATATATCATCCACATACTATAGAAAAGAGTTACTATTGACACCCTATATGTATTGCAGAAGAATGTTAATGCCACTCAAAGAAATTAAGGAGTTAGGAAGGGGAGGGCACCAGTTTGGGACGTAGGGGGTGACTTTAGTTTTGTACATCCTTGAGTTTGACATGACAGTGGAATTTCAGTTCTACCAATGCTGATTAAACGCCTACTATATTTAGGCCTCTCAGATACAAAGGGGAAAAAAAATGAAATAATTCTACTTGGGGAGTTTATAGTCTCAGAGGACATTGGGGGAATGATTTGAAAAGAGAGAGGCCACCAGGAAAGTTATGAGGGGGCTTCTTGAAAAAAGGTAGGGATTTGAAAAGGTAGAAATGAGTACAGAGGGCATTCTAGACACTCCTTTGCAAAGGGGCGGAAATGCAATGTCAGGTTTATAAAACAACTAATAGGCCAACATGGCTGGAATGTAGAGCATGTAAAGAGTAATAATATGAAATATGTCTGAAAATCGCATGTTGAAGCCAGGTTGTGGAGCACTTTCAATGCCAGGCTGAAGAACCTGTATTTTATTCTAAAGGTAATAGGGAGATACTAAAGAGTTTGAGCAGAAGAGTGACATGGCGAGACTTTTAGCAAATTATGTTGACAGCTTTATGGAAGATAGATAGATTGAAGAGGGGAGAGAGACACCAGGCAGGAGGCTGTTTCAATAGTAAAGGCAAGAAATGAGGAGGGTTTGAATGATAGTAGCAGCTATGTTAACAGAAGAAAAGGGGACCAGCAAAAACAATATTATGGAGGCAGAATTCTTAAGTCTCAGCAATTGATCGAATCTGGAAGGTGAGGAAGAGGGAAGGATGAGTCAGTGATGTCACCAGGGTTGTAAACCTAGAGGATGAGAGGGATTCTTTTGCCCTATTGAGAATTAAGAAGGTTGGAGGAAGGGTTGGAAGTATTGTGGAAAAGATGGGAATCTTCTTAAGGGCTGTCAAGTTTGAGATGCCTACAGGACAGCCATGTGGAGATAATACAACAGGCGGTTGATTAAAAAAAAAAGAACTAGAGTTTAGGAGAGAGATTAGGATTAAGTGTATATAATATGGAGATATCTGCTTAGAAATGATATGAGCCAATGAGATCACCACTAAAAGTATATAGGGAGAAAAATAATAGAGCCCAGGCCAGTGATTCATAGCTTCCCTGAGTCTTGAGACTGATTAGCAGGTAAAGTGATAATCTAGCCAAGGACCCCAAAATGGAATTATAAAACAGGCAGGAGAACCAGGAGAGAGCAGTCTTGGAAGCCAGGGGGGTCAGGAATATTGAGAAGACAGAGGCTGACAGTATCAGAAGCAACAAATGAAAATTGAGAAAAAGATTTAACAGTTAAGAAATCATTAGTAACCTTGGAGAGCAGTTTCAGTCAAGTAGTAGGATCAGAAGACGGATTGTAAGAATTTGAGAAGTGAGTGGGAGGTGAAGAAGTAGAGACACTAGTGTTGACAGTCTCTCTAGGATTTTGTCAGTGAAAAGGAGAACAGATGTAGGACCATAACTTGACAGCAGGGTTAAGTGAAGGATTATTAAAGATGAGAGAGGCATGTTTGTAGGCAGCATAGAAGGTTCTGGAAGATAAGGAGAGATCAAAGATGAGTAGGTGTAGGAAGAGTGAGACAGGAAAGTCAGGATAGGCTATGATCAGAAAAGGGAATTTCAGAGTTCATTATTATAGAGGTAGCATAGTAATATGTGATGATCTGGTTGGATACGTTATAGTAGGGATTCTTTTGAGTATGAGCTGGACTGGTTAGCCTCTGAGGTTCCTTCCAACCTACTGTGATAGCAGACTTCTACTATGATATGACTGTCCCCTTGGGGGCTCAGGGAGAATGAAGGTTTGGATCCTGGGAGTTGAGGAAATTGCTGGACTTGGAGGTCGGAGTGTACAGTGGGACATCAGCATGTATATCAAAGTTCACAATATGAAGGCAGCATTTGAAGTGGAGAAGTACACTAAACCAGAATTGGAGCACCTTGAGAAAATAGAGAGAGGGTTAGTGAGGCTGATGACTTTGTACAGCTTTGCCTCACTTAAATCCAGTTCCTGCACAAGACAAGATGTCGCCCTCATGGTGTCTTTGGTCCTCTTCAAGGACGAACAAAGGACAGGCAACAGAGAGACCATGACCTGGATACCAGTAGTTGACTGAGATAGGGATCTGAGTCAGGTGACAAAGATCATGGATTGAACAGCAAAGATGATGAAATTTCACTCTTTGCATTTATTTGTCCACAGTCGGGCTGAGCAAATGCGTGTTGATCAGTAGATTGATTGCTGAGCGATTTTAGCAAAGAGACGGTCTGGAATCGCACTGAGGAACAAATCCTTCTACTCCTCTTCTTGTTCCAGTGTGTCAGGGGGCTGGAGAGGAAGAGCCCCTTGTACTGCAGAGGGTCTCCATAAGGGGAGATGTTCTCTAGGCCATTAGAAGCACAAAGCTGGAGTGGATCGGCACCAGTGAGTGAGCACATAGAGAGTGCAAGAGAGGGCTGGAATTGATCCCCAGGGAATACCTGCAGTTAGGATATGGAAAGAAAAGAAACCAGAGAAGTGGGCCATGTCAGAATCTATAAATGACTTAGTATTTTGTGTAGCCAGGAATGCATAGAGGGCATTAAGTGGTAGGGAAGGCAGTAAAGTATCAGGGCCTTGGATAGTTGCATAGGAACCTCACATCTGCCCATAGTTGGGGAAGGCTTTGTGAAATTTTAACTCTTTGAATGTTGGCTGAGACCTGGTGACCTGGGAGGTGAAGAAGTCCATGGGGCATGAATAAGTGGCCTGGGAGAAGACCTTTCCCTGCCCTCCATCTCATTCCTTGCTTCCTTTCATTTTTCCCAAGACTGTCAGCATCTGTTTTGTTTTGTTTTAATCTGTGGAGGGGTGAGAAAGGGTATATAAGAGTCAGATACTCGGTAGGTAAGTGCTTTGGTGAGAAGAGATTTCCTGAGATCTCAGTACCAGCTCAGACAGTTTAAGGGATCGAAGGACTTCTTAAGGTACAGCCTAGTGTGTGGTAAGCACACTGGTTTGGGGGCCAGAAGGCCTTGGATTTTTTTTTTTTTAGGCAATTGGGGTGAAGTGACTTGCCCAGGGTCACACAGCTAGTAAGTGTCAAGTGTTTGGTCTGAGGCTGGCTTTGAACTCAGGTACTCCTGACTTCAGGGCCAGTGCTGTATCCACTGTGCCACCTAGCTGCCCCAGAAGGCCTTGGTTCAAAGCACATTTAGGGTTACAGGCCTACCACTTGCTGTCTGTGTGACCAGCCCCTCTGAGCCTATTTCCTCATCTGTAAAATGAAAAGGGTAGACTTGATGTTCTTAAGGTCTCTTTCAGTTCTAAATCCATGGTCCTGTGGATTCCAATCTCACTCTGCCCTTTAATAAAGGGTTTTATGACTTGGGGCAAGTCTGTGAGTTTGTAAAAATAGGAGTGAGAATGATAATACTATTGTTGTGAATGATCTAGGTCCTCACTTTGGGGTTGCCCACATCTCCAAGTGCCTAGGAAAACTGGGAGTCAGGGTGTGTTATTTCCTCCCCTGGTGGCTGAATTATCTTGCTTTCCTTTCCTGCCAAAGGACCCAAAGCAGAAGAAGATCTATGACCTCTTTCGAGCATCCTTCTTGGACGATACAGATGGAGATGATATAGACGAAGCTATGCTGCTGGAGGCAGCAGAAGCCTGTGAGAGAGGAGCCTCCTTAGAGATGTCAGAGAGTGTTTACCCGGATGGAGCCAGCCTCTGGGAAGAGAGCTCACCTAAGAAGAGGCGGATTACTGACTTTTTTGATCAAAAATGACAGGAGAGACTTGTCCGTTGGCTCTCAGAAGACCTTAAAAGAAAATCACTGATAGTTTAAAAATATACGCAGTAAAATAAAGCAAGTTGTCTTCTGTTTTTTCAGCCTGTTTTCACTTCATTTCATGGCAGTGTCTGGATTTAATTTCTGCTGTTCTGACTAGACACCATCAAGCAGTAGATAAAATGTTGGGCTGGATGAGACCTGGGTTCAGATTCTGCCCCTCATACCTACTACTGTGTTACCCTAGACAAGTCATTTATCCTCTTTGTGGCAAAGTAATTCCTCCCCTATGGTTGACCTACTAAGTCATAGATGGGTTTGATCTGTGTTCTCATACCCAGAACTGAGGAAATCTCATAACCTTGTATTCAGGTATTTGATCATCAAGATCCTCACCTGGCCTCTCAAATCAATGAACATATATTAAGCATCTACTGTGTTCAGAGTTCTGTGCTAAGCTCTGAGGCAGATCCCAAGCTGAGATGAGTCACAGTGCCCATCTTTGTGGAATTTTACAACCTAGTTAGGGGGATAGAACAGGTACACAATTCCTTGCACTTGGAGGACACTTGATGTTTGTAAAATTAAATCCATAGCCAAGTCAACAAGCATTTATTAAGCACTTGGTTTATGCCAGGTACTGGGGGCTTTGTAGAGAAAATCATAGACAAGAATTCAGACTTGGCTGGCCTAGGTCTCCTCCTGAAAATGGAGGTTATGGGAAGAACTGACCAATGAGAGGGAAAGCACAGCTGAATTGGAAGCACAATGTTAGAGTCCATAATTAACATCAATTGCCTCTCCCTTATCTAGAGCTGGGTGCTTTCTGCTCTCCTCTCCCCCGCACCCTCTCAAAAATTGCTGTGAATTCATGTTCAAGTTTTTGTTGACTTGCTAAGGACCTAGGGCAAAAAATGGGATTTTTGTGAAACCTTGCATTATGATTTTTTTAAAAAATCACTTTTGTTGTTTTATTAGGTCTCCTTAAATGAACTTTCAGAAGGTTCATCTCAGCACTCGTAGAACTCCAGGAGCTGGTCTGTCATCTCACCTATCCAGGGCCTCTAAAACAAAGTGCCTTCGTGTTCCCAGTGAGACCTTGTCCAGCTCCTGCCTCTGGAGCTGGGTTCATGTGGCTGCAGGTGATCCAATTAGGATAAATGGCATAGTGCTTGGAGTAGCTGTTTTCACTTCCTTCTTGGCTCCAGATGAGGCTTTTTCAAGGTCACTGTCAAACATTAAGCATCAGGAGCCATTTCCAAACCCCTGGCTGTCCCAGTGAACTCAGCCCCAGAGGCTCCACGTCCTGTAAAATCTTTGCTCCTTGGCTCTGTGAGAATTTGTATTCCCTCAGAGCAAAGGAGCAAATTGCAAAATGGTGGGATAAATAACAATAATAACTCCAACCCCATTTCTTACCTTAGGGTCATGGGATTTAGTGCTCTAACCCTCCAAATTTTACAGATGAGGAACCTGGGACCAAGAAATAGAAAGTGCCTCAGGTCATGTTGGTATTATGTAATAGAGCTGGAATTCAAAGCCAGGTACCTTGACTCCAAGTATAGTGCCCTTGCCACTTGAGAATACAAGTAGAAGCAGAAATGTAATCCCTGCCTTCAAGGAGCTTACATTCCTTTATTTACATAAATAGTATTTTATTTTTTCTTATTACACGTAAAGACAATTTTCAACATTCATTTTTTATAAGATTTTGAGTTCTAAATTTTTCTTCTTCCCTCCCCTTCCCAAGATGTCAAGCAATCTGATATAGGTTATACATGTGCAATCATGTAAAACATATTTCCACATTAGTCATGTTGTGAAAGAAGAAACAGAAGAAAAGGAAAAACCATGAATAAAAACAGAGAAAGTAAAAATAGTATGTTTTGTTCTACATTCAAACTCCATTAGTTCTTTCTCTGGAGGAGGATAGCATTTTCTATCACGAGTCTTTTGGAACTGTCTTGGATCATTGTATTGCTGGGAAGAGCTAAATCAGTCATAGTAGATCACAGGGTGTTGCTTTTACCGTGTATACAGTATTCAAGGAGCTTACATTCTAATGGCTGAAGGCAGCACAAAAAAGGTGAGTAGGCTACTCTCCCAGGGGCATGGTAGAGAAAGTCTGGAGAATGTGGAATACAACCTAGAAAGGAAGCTACGTCTACCCTGGGCATCCTCCCTAAAATGGAGATTGTAGGGAAAACCAGGCAATCAGAAAGAAAGTCCAGGGTCATGAATGCATCCTGGAGAGGAATGAAGATGTGCCTGGCTTGGAAGTAATCCTGGGAGTCACCAGTCCAGCTTACATGCTACTGCTTCAGTGATCTGCCATCAAACTACAGCTGCCTCTCCCACCCCCTTCCTTCTTACTCAGTTCTAGGATTAGCAGGCTAAGAGGTATGAATCTCTTGGATTAACCACAGTTGGCTAAATTCTGCTTATTGACTGTTGAGGTCAATAAGAAAGGGATCTGAGTGGGAGCTGAGCTCTCTCCATAGTGATATTCTACAAAATAAAGACTAAGGACCAGTGCTCCATATTGGAATCAATTTGTTTGGCTTGGTTATATCCAATTTATGTGGCAGGCAATGGGCTAGGTACTGATGATACTGGCAAAATGAAAAATTGTCCCTGCCATCGAGGAGTCAGCTTTCTACAAGGGACATATACAGTCAGTTTACCACGTGCCAAGCATGGGAGATACAAAGAAAGTAAAAAACATAGTCCTTGCCCACAGGGAGGCCATGTAATGGGAGAGACAGCATGCACAAAATTGTACACAGAAGGTGTAAATGTGATGTCAATGAAAGGTGATCTCCAAGAGAAGGCACTAGTGGTAAAGGGGAGGGGGGTGGGTGGAGAACCAGGAAGGCCTCGTGCAGAAAATCAAATTTGAGCTCAGTCTTGAAGAAATCCAGGGAAGGCAAGAGATGGAGAATAGGTTTTTTGGTTTAAGAGACAAGCATTGCAAACGCATGGAGTTGGGAGAGAATGTGCCAGGCCTAGAGTCAGGAAGACCCGAGTTCAAATGTGACCTCAAGACATTAGCTATGTGACTAGGTGACAAGTCACTTAACCCTGTTTGCCTCAGTTTCCTCATCTGTAAAATGAGCTGGAGAAGGAAATGGCAAATCACTATGGTATCTTTGCCAAGAAAACCCTAAACGGGGTCATGGAAATTAGACATCACTGAAATGACTCAACAACAACAAAAAGGCCAGTCATTGAATCACAGAGTACATGGAAAGAAATTAATTGACTGGATTGGTAGAAAGGTGACAGGTTGTGAAGTGTAAAAATGAAACAGAGGATTTTATATATGATCTTGGAGGCAATACATGTCTTTTTTTTTTTAAACAGACCTGTGATTTCATTGGTATAAGGAATGCAGGGCAAGGAAAAGTCACTACCAATATAGGTCTGCACCTGCTCTTCAATTTCATAGTCTTAGAGAATTATCAGAGGCTTTGAAAAGCTAAGTGACTAGCCCAGGACCACAAAGCCATATGGGTCAGAGGCAAGTCTTGAACCTAGGTCTTCCTGGCTGCAAGTCTTGAACCTAGGTCTTCCTGGCTTCAAAACCAGCTCTCTGTGCTCTACACCAAGCTGCCTCTCCAAGATGTAAATAGACAAAATATATACATAATAATATAACTTGATGAGGAGGGAAGCAACATTCACCACTAAATAGGTTTCAGGAAAGGTTACCTTTAGAAGATGACCCATGTCCTGCCCCTGAAGGAAGCTGAGAATTCCTAGAGATGAGGAAGGAATGTGTCCCAGGCACGGAGGCAGGAGTGTGACATTCAGGCGATGGGAAGGAGGCAACTGTCCTGAACAGAGAGAACAAGAAGAGGAGTGAGGTACAATAAACCAGAGAATTCCATCCAGACTTTATATGTCAAGCTGAATTTGTAGTTTATCTTTGAGACATATATACCCTCAGATTCAGTCACTGGAGCTTGGGGAAGACAAGAAAGGCTACCCCTTGATGGAACTTGACTTTTCTTCTTGGCTGTTAAATTTTTTTTTTCTGTTGAGCTTTGGAGCCTCAGATCTCTGGTTTCCTCTCTTCTGCCAGCCTCATGCATGCATGGGGTTACATGGAGTTTTAATGAAGCTTGAGAGCTCTTCAAACCAGAAGTGAAGAGGACACAGTGGAGAGAACCTGATTATTGAGACTGTGACTGTCTGATATCAACTGCTTCCTATCTCCGAGCAGGATGTGCATTTGGGATGATGGTGGCAGCTGTGAATACTTTCAAGGAGAAAATGTTCTGTATGCCACTGGAGAATTCCTTTGACTCAACAGCTAAAAGAACTTCTCTCTCTCTGGGGGCCGGTTTTTAATTAATTTATTTATTTTTATAAAGGGAAAGTGAATTTTGAGTGTTCTTGAAGACTCGAGGTGACTCAGCAGAGATTATACGGAGGTTTTTATGGGGACGCATTATAGATAAAGTGTATACCTGACAGCTCTTTAATGGGATTCAAGATTTATCTATGTGTAGAGAAGATAAATTGAGATTTTATGAGAAGCGGAATTCTCTGAAGACCCTTAGAGCTGATTTCATCAAAGTGTCATTCCCCCTTCCTCTAGTCTGCTGTTTAAAGAGAATTGTTCGACTTTGACAAAATTACTCAGGATCTGAAAAAAATGTCTCTAGTATAGAGTGCCTCATTTTCTGCCATTCTAATGCTGGAATTCAAGAGCGCTCTCTCGCTTGCTCTCTCTCTCTCTCTCTCTCTCTCTCTCTCTCTCTCTCTGTTGCACTCTCTTTCTTGCTCTATCCCTATCCTCTAGCTCTGTCTCTCTCTGACTCTCTCTCTCTCTGTCTGTCTCTCTCTGTCTCTCTCACTGTCTCTGTCTCTTTTGCTCTATCTCTGTTTCTGTCTCTGTCTCTCTGTCTCTCACTGTCTGTCTCTTTTGCTCTATTTCTGTTCCCTCTTTCTCTCTCTCTCTTTTTTTGCTCTATCCCTCTCCTCTATCTCTGTCTCTCCTCTCTCTTGGGATCTCTCTGTCTTTGTTTTCTTCTTTCTCTGTTTCTGTCTCTCTTTCTATCTCTGTCTCAGTCTCTCTCTCTTTCTCTCTCATTGT